GTCACTTTAAAACTAAAAAATAATTTATCAAACCTGTAAAGAAAATCAAGTACGCAACAATTAAACTCAGGATTTGAAACAGAGATTCCTCTAACTTATCTCTTCAAAAAAGCATTTAATACTAATGTGCTGAAAGACTTACAGCAATCACTCATCGAAACTAAAAAATATATGATTTTTTTACGAAATCAGTTGCAACAGTATGTAGCACAGTGAGTGAGAAAACAAGAAAGAATTATAATATTTGAAAGAAAACTATTATCCACTTTGTTATGCACCTTAACAAAAAAATTATGCAATGAATTTATAAAGTCTTATCACATACAAACATATTCTGAATTTCTTGAATCACATCATTCGCAGTTGATACTCACCATTTTGCGTGATATATCTTACCCACGGTAAAGCCTGGTAACCACTTTTTTCAATTATTTTTAAGTAACGGACCTGCAAGGAAGTAATCATAACGAGCAAAAGTCTGCAGATTTTGAAGAAATTCAACCTTCCAATATATACTGAAGTCTTTAAAATAAAATACAATTATTTAAATGTATCCACTTAGTCTAAAGAAATAAGACAGATGGGTAGTACAATACTCTTTCGCTTTCAAAAAATAAAAAGAAAAACAAGACTAAGCACAGCATACAAACCCTGTAAGTAGGAGAGAGATCAACAATACCTGAATCCCTGATGTTGTAAAGTAGGGAATTTCGAACTTGACTTTTATTGGAGGTTTGCCTTCCATGTCTTCAGACTGAACAGACGGCAAATTAAAATGACCGCGCATTAAGTACTCTTTCCCACCTAAAAATTACCAGGTAAAACAATCAATTCAATTTTGCAAATTTCTGTACAGAGAACAATGTTGACAGAAAAATTGGAATATCAAACTACTACTTTCCCACTACATTAGTTTTATTTTACAATCAGTGTATTTTGAAACACCTAATAAAAAACTCGCAAAGCCCTTCATCAACCTGATGAAACACATTCAGAGACATTTTTACTTGGCTCCACTGACTTAGCAATTTTAAAAATAATAGAAACAACAATTTCAATTCAGTATACAAAACCCAACTCATCATGAAAAATTTTAATAAAAAATATTCATACTAGCGAAATCTTTTGAAATTGGTTTGATAATGGCAACCACAGAATGCTTAACTATTCTTTTGTCTGATAAAACTCAAATCATAAATACTTCAAAAACAGCCTCACTGATACACATAAAGCCCGCCAGATTTCTTTACCTGCCTTTCATATTGACTGTGCAGCTGACAATAGTGTTTAAACAAGTGATTCTAAGGCAAGCAACTCTATCCCTCTAAATATAAAAATTAAGAAGAAAATATTCATGTTGGATTACATGAAAAATTATACAGAACCAAATGAAATTTGTTTACGTTTTACAAACATTCAGAAATAATTAAAACATGTCTTGACCCACTAAACTTAAAAAACATGAATTACATAAATTCAAACCGAAAATTTTCTTTAGTAAAAAGAAATATGGTTAATTAATAAACCAAGTCGAATGCATAGGACTAACTTGCAAGGCGCAAATAAACAAATTAATAAAAAGCATGAGAAAGTAAAAAATTATACAAATGATTTTTTTTCTCGCTTCAATGAGACATTTTGGTTATCTAAAAAACATCTTCTCTTACCAGGGAAGCTTTTAATGTTCCAAACAAAACAGCTTCCTTCAGGAGTGTATTTCACTGTCCCAATAGAAGTCTTAAACTTCGGTGAATCTGCATCACTGGGGACGGGAATAATAACTTCAACATTGTTCGCTGTTGAACGTCTTTTAAACTGAGACTTCGCCTGTAAGTTTAAATCTTATACAATGATGTAAGCAGTTACGACAACTGATCATATCATTAATATTAATGCTTTGATTAAAGATTTGTAAACTGTTATGAAAAAAAAGTAAAAAAATATGTTAACGCAAAGGAAAAAATACTAGCTGCAGAATTACAAAAAACTATTAGAAATTATCAGTAATAAAGGTTAAATTGGTAAATGATTCATCCAAATAAAACTCCCACCTTAACCATGTATTCAATACGTGAATGAGTGTGCTTTTCTACTACTGTTTCAATCCAAATGAGCGGCTTGACTACAGTCATTAAGCGGTAGTTCATAAGCTCAAATTCACCGTCTGGAGGTATAAAACTAATTGTTCTATCATTTTCAAAACGGGACAACCGTACACATTGGTGAAACTTTACATCTTCTAGCTCCACTGATTTGTTTTTGCCGCCTAAAACCACTAATAATTATGTAAGAAAGCTCAACAACCAGTACGATATAAATGCTACGAATAGTATTACTTACGACCACTGCTTTCGAAAAGAACCTTGTCATTCAATCCTAGCCTCAACTCAGGCATTCCAGTGAGATACACGCGCATTTTCACGGAACCCACTATTTCGCTTTGCAGGACAGTACCGTTGGCGTTCGCCTGAAGTGTCAAAAGTGATTAATTACACAGTTCAACGGTTTAACAACCCAATACCAAAGTAACAACATGATTTCGTCTGCCAGTGATAATAATAATGGCGACGAACCCTTGAAGTTAATAAATAAACACTTTCTCTTTAACAAACTTTTCAAGAACAGTTATCCTGCTATGAGCTTTCTGCTGTCGTAGCAGTGTCAATTTTAATACGTTAATATGCCAAACTCGAAAACTAACCAGGAGATTGACTGATTCAATTACATCAAGAAACACTTCGTTTTTCCTATATTTTATGCCTTCAGATCGCCAAGAAACGGCGTTTGTTACCGCCATAGGTGGACGTGGAGCTAGCTCCAACTTATGACCCTCCTGAGTGATGTACCTAAAATGAAGACGCTTACAAAGAATAAATCCGGAATAAAAGAATAAAACTTCAAAAAGATGTCAAAATAAGTAATTGAATAAATGAAGCCAAATGCAGCAGTTCGATTATCAAAACTCCCAAGATACTTTCTAGTTTAAATTTCCGAAAAACCATTACTCGCTCAGAATTCATTAGTGACGGTTACATGAAAATTGTCAAAAAATAATATGTTTAGTTAAATTACTCCTGTAATATCTTTCCTTCCGTAGTCTGTGGGTACCCGAAGTCCATCATTTCATCAAGTAGTTCATAAATAACTACAAAATTATCTCGTACTGACTCTTCTTCAACATCTTTGAAGTAATCGGTAAATACTTGAACGCATTTATAAAGGAAGGTTAAAACCAATGCAACGTTTACATTTTTGCATGATGTAGAAACGACTGAAATAGGAAAAAAATCAAGTTTCCAGTACCAGGCCAAGGCAAACAATGTAAAACAAACACACAACTCCTGATAATAAAAGCTACAGTCCAGAGTTTAAGCACTATAATTTAATTGTGAGTTTTGTTCGTGCAATGACCACCTGTGGAATGGTGAACTGAACTATTTGTTCAGCTGCATACCAAAAGAAGAATACTGAAGAAAAGCAAAAAAAAATATTTACAGGGAAGAAAACTTACAATATAAATTTGTATGTTTAATGTAGATGAAAGTGGCGTCCGGATGGTCTAATACAGGACTTTGCCTTCCTTCCTCCTCGCGCTCCATTAACAGAGGTAAAAATTTGTCAATAACCCCCATGTCAATATCGCCGCGATAATTTCTGGCAATGATAACCTAAAAAAGTCAGCTAATAAATTCACTGATAATGAGGTTAAATAACCTATAAAAAAGGGAAAAAAAATCAAATTTGACAAAATGTCCTCCCGTACAGTATATGTTCTAATACTTCCAAAATGACACAGGCGTAACAAAAAGAATTGTTTTAGATGATAATTATCAACCCGTGAAACAACAAATCTAACCTTGCCCTTCAAATCCAAGATGTATACTGCTGATGACGACATTACATCTACGCTTGCAACAGCAGTTTTCCACTTGGCGTTTTAACTAAAAACAACAGAATTACCTTCGAAAAAAAAAAACGTGATATTGCAATTAACGAAGTTATAATAAGTGCAGAAAAAAAAAGAAAGTTAAATTTTTTGATGTATTCATCCAAATAATAGAATAAAAGAAATGGAAACAATAAAAAAAAAATTCTACAGAATTTTTCTGTTAATATTTACACAAATATAGTTTACATATCTATAAAGAAAGAGCAAATGATAACATTTCTATTGTATCATTTTCATTTTAAACATTTCAAACATAAATATAAGTTCAAAAAAACAAAAAAAAAAAAAAAA